CCAGCTCCTCAAGCCGCTCCTCATAGGGCTTGTTCTCCAGACCCTTGATCATTTTAGTCGCCCTCCTCTGGACGTGCAAGTTTTCCAGGTGACAGCAGGACAGGGGCACCAGCAACAACCTCGACAAAGAATACTATATCTTCCTCTCTATTTTAACTTCCCTGAGTCTCTTTGTAACATTCCCCAATAAAAAGTATCATTTTACTAACTTTTTCCTCTCTGGAGTGATACATTGTGACTGGCAACATTGCCCAGGCACGAATCAAGGAACAGGAAAGGCACGGCAGACTCACTTAACTAATTCAATATATAATATTATTACAATAATAATCTAATTTAGTTGTTCATTCGTTCAGTCGACTCCGACTCTTCGTGACCTCCTGGACCAGTCCATGCCAGAGCTCCCTGTTGGCCGTCCCCACCCCCAGCTCCTTCAAGGTCAGTCCAGTCCCTTCAAGGATGCCATCCATCCATCTTGCCCTTGGTCGGCCCCTCTTCCTTCTTCCTTCCATTTTCCCAAGCATCATTGTCTTCTCTAGGTGACCTCATGGACCAGCCCACGCAAGAGCTCCCTGTCGGCCGTCACCACCCCCAGCTCCTTCAAGGTCAGTCCAGTCACTTCAAGGATGCCATCCATCCATCTTGCCCTTGGTCGGCCCCTCTTCCTTTTTCCTTCCATTTCTCCCAGTATCATTGTCTTCTCTAGGTGACCTCCTGGACCATCCCACGCCAGAGCTCCCTGTCGGCTGTCACCTCCCCCAGCTTCTTCAGTGTCAAGCCAGTCACTTCAAGGATGCCATCCATCCATCTTCCCCTTGCTCGGCCCCTCTTCCTTTTTCCATCCTTTTCCCCCAGTATTATTCTCTAGGGGACCTCATGGACCAGCCCACGCAGGAGCTCCCTGTTGGCCGTCACCACTCCCAGGCCTTTCAAGGTCAAGCCAGTCACTTCAAGGATGCCATCCATCCACCTTGCCCTTGCTCAGCCCCTCTTCCTTTTTCCTTCCATTTTCACTAGCATCATTGTCGTCTCTAGGTGACCTCATGGACCAGCCCACGCCAGAGCTCCCTGTCAGCCGTCACCACCCCCAGCTCCTTCAAGGTCAAACCAGTCACTTCAAGGATGCCATCCATCCACCTTGCCTTGGTCGGCCCCTCTTCCTTTTTCCTTCCATTTTCCCTAGCATCATTGTCTTCTCTAGGTGACCTCATGGACCAGCCCACACCAGAGCTCACTCTTGGCCGTCACCACCCCCAGGTCCTTCAAGGTCAAGCCAGTCACTTCAAGGATACCATCCATCCAACTTGCCTTGGTCGGCCCCTCTTCCTTTTTCCTTCCATTTTCCAGCATCATTGTCTTCTCCCGTGACCTCAGGAACCAGCCCACACCAGAGCTGTCTGTCGACCTGTTCAACAACCCCCACAGCTCCTTCAAGGTCGAGTCCACGCACCCCTTCAAGGATGACATCCAATCCATCTTTGCACCCCTGGTCGGCCCTCTTCCTTCTTCCACTTCCATTTCCCAGCATCATTGTCTCTCTCTAGGGACCACATCTATGGACCCCATGCCCACCGCTCCTGACCGCTCCTGCGGCCGTCCACCCACTCCACCAGATCCTTCAAGGTCAGCCAGTACCCTTCAAGGATCGCCCACATCTGAACCACTCTTGCCTGGTCGGCCCCTTTCCTTTTGCCTATTGTCCACCTTTCCCCAGCATAATTGTCTTCTCTAAGCTTTCCTTTCTTCTCATGATGTGGCCAAAGGACTTCATCTTGGCCTCTAGTATCCTTCCCTCCAATGAGCAGCCGGGCTTTATTTCCTGGAGGATGGACTGGTTGGATCTTCTCGCAGTCCAAGGCACTCTCAGGACTTTCCTCCAACACCACAGCTCAAAAGCATCGATCTTCCTTCGCTCAGCCTTCACTAAGGTCCAGCTCTCACATCCGTAGGTGACTACAGGGAATACCATGGCTTTGACTAGGCAATGGATCTTGTTGCCAGTCTGATGTCTCTACTCTTTACTATTTTATCGAGACTGGACATTGCTCTCCTCCCAAGAAGGAAGCGTCTCCTGATTTCCTGGCCACAGTCTGCATCTGCACTCATCTTTGCACCTAGAAATACAAAGTCTGTCACGGCCTCCACGGTTTCTCCCTCTATTTTCCAGATGTCAATCATTCTTGTTGCCATAATCTTGGGTTTTTTGATGTTTAGCTGCAACCTGGCTTTTGCGCTTTCTTCTTTCACCTTGATTAGAAGGCACCTCGGCTCCTCAGCTAAATAAATAAGTAATGACAAGAGAGTGGCGCCATTCCCCGTGGGTCCACCAGGGGGCGCTGCGCCTTCCTCTTCCTCCTCCTCTCTCCAGAGCCCCCTCCCTAAGGATTTGACTTCAGTTGGGACCCTTCCCCCTTTAAGACCCCTTCTGCCAGTACGCAGAATCCATCTAATTTCCCCCTTTTGCCGCCCATTCGTGCCTCTTCGAATTCCGCAGCACTGCTGGTCACAGCTGACCTCCGGCTGGAGCATTCAAGTGCCAGGGCTTCCCAGTTCTCAGTGTCTATGCCACAGTTTTTAAGGTTGGCTTTGAGCCCATCTTTGAATCTCTTTTCCTGCCCACCAACATTCCGTTTTCCGTTCTTGAGTTGGGAGTAGAGATGGTGATCTTTGGGCATTCGGACAAATCCCACAGCACTGCTGGTCACAGCTGACCTCCAGCTGGAGTGCTCAAGGGCCAGGGCTTCCCAATAAATAAATAAATAAATAAATAATGACAAGAGAGAGGCGGAGTTCCCCGTGGGTCCACAAGGGGGCGCTGTGCCCTCCTATACCTCTTTCCAGAGCCCCCTCCCCAAGGATTTGACTTCAGTTGGGACCCTTCCCCCTTTAAGACCCCTTCAGCCACTGCTTTCGGCCAGAGGTGGAGGACCCATCCTAATAATACTAATTTTCCCCTTTCACCCTCCTTTTGTATTTCTTCAAATTCCGCAGCACTGCTGGTCGCAGCTGACCTCCATCTGGAGCGCTCAAGGGCCAGGGTATCCCAGTTCTCAGAGTTTTAAAGGTTGTCTTTGGGCATTCGGACAAATTCTGCAGCACTGCCGGTCACAGCTGACCTCCAGCTGGAGCACTCAAGGGCCAAGGCTTCCCAGTTCTCAGTGTCTATGCCAGAGTTTTGAAGGTTGGCTTTGAGCCCATCTTTCAATCTCTTTTCCTGCCCACCCACATTCCGTTTTCCGTTCTTGAGTTCAGAGAAGAGTAACTGCTTTGGGAAATGGTGATCTTTGGACATTTGGACAAATTCCACAGTACTGCTGACCTCCGGCTGGAGCGCTCAAGGTCCAGGGCTTCTTTGTCCTCTCTCCAGAGCCCCCTCCCCAAGGATCTGACTTCAGTTGGAACCCTTCCCCCTTTAAGACTCCTTCAGCCACTGCACAGGACCCATCCTAATAATACTAATTTCTCTCTTTCACCCGCCACTCGTGCCTCTTCAAATTCTGCAGCACTGCTGGTCACAACTGACCTCCGGCTGGAGTGCTCAAGGGCCAGGGCTTCCCAATAAATAAATAAATAAATGAATAATGACAAGAGAGGCGCTGTTCTCAGTGGGCCCACCAGGGGACGCTGCACCCTCCTCCTCCTCCTCTTTCCTGAGCCCCCTCCCCAAGGATTTGACTTCAGTTGGGACATTTCTCCTTTAAGACCCCTTCTGCCCGTACGCAGAATCCATCTAATTTCCCCCTTTCGCCCTCCATTCGTGCCTCTTCAAATTCTGCAGCACTGCTGGTCCCAGCTGACCTCCAGCTGGAGCGCTCAAGGGCCAGGGCTTCCCAGTTCTCAGGGTCTATGCCAGAGTTTTTAAGGTTGGCTTTGAGCCCATCTTTCAATCTCTTTTCCTGCCCTCCAACATTCCCTTTTCCATTCTTGAGTTCAGAGAAGAGCAACTGCTTCGGGAGATCTTTGGGCATTCAGATAAATTCTACAGCACTGCTGGTCACAGCTGACTTCCAGCTGGTGCGCTCAAGGTCCAAGGCTTCCTTGTCCTCTCTCCAGAGCCCCCTCCCCAAGGACCTGACTTCAGTTGGGACCCTTCCCCCTTTATGACTCCTTCAGCCACTGTGGATGACCAATCCTAATAATACTAATTTCCCCCTTTCGTCCTCCATTCGTGCCTCTTCAAATTCCGCAGCACTGCTGGTCACAGCTGACCTCTGGCTGGAGCGCTCACAGGCCAGGGCTTCCCAGTTCTCAGTGTCTATGCCAGAGTTTTTGAGGTTCAATCTCCGTCCTGCAACATTCTGTTTTACATTCTTGAGTTCAGAGTAGAGATGGCAATCTTTGGGCATTCGGACAATATTCTGCAGCACTGCTGGTCACAGCTGACCTCCAGCTGGAGTGCTCAAGGGCCACGGCTTCCCAGTTCTCAGTGTCTATGCCAGAGTTTTTGAGGTTCAATCTCCGTCCTGCAACATTCTGTTTTACATTCTTGAGTTGGGAGTAGAGATGGTGATCTTTGGGCATTCGGACAATATTCCGCAGCACTGCTGGTCACAGCAGACCTCCGGCTGGAGCGCTCACAGGCCAGGGCTTCCCAGTTCTCAGTGTCTATGCCAGAGATTTAAAGGTTGTCTTATCATAGAATCATAGAATCAAAGAGTTGGAAGAGACCTCATGGCCCATTCTGCCAAGAAGCAGGAATATTGCTTTGAGCTCCTCTTTCAATCTCTTTTCCTGCCCACCGACATTCCATCTTACGTTCTTGAGTTGGGAGCAGAGATAGTGATCTTTGGGCATTCAGACAAATTCTACAGCACTGCTGGTCACAGCTGACCTCCAGCTGGAGCAATCAAGGACCAGAGCTTCCCAATAAATAAACAAATATATAAATAATGACACGAGAGAGGCGGAGTTCCTCGTGGGCCCACCAGGGGGCGCTGCGCCCTCCTCCTGCGTGGGTCCTGAAAGAGAGAGAGAGAGAGAGAGAGAGAGAGAGGCGGAGGCGGAGGTCCAGGTGGGCGGCCTTTCTTCTTCCTTCCTCCGTCCCTTCCTTCCCGGGAAAGGAGGAAGAGGGGAGAGAAGGATGGCGGTGGCCGTGGCGCCCCTCTTTTGGCTGCTCCTGCTCGTGGGGTGCCTGGGTGGGGGCGCCAAGGAGGGCGAGGACGGGGCGCCCTTGTCTTCTCCTTCTCCTCCTTCTCCTCCTTCTTCTTCTTCCCTGGTGACGGTGGCGCTGGTGCTGCCGGAGGCCAACCCGAGCTACCCGTGGGCGCTCCCTCGCGTGCGCCCGGCCGTGGACTTGGCCTTGGAGCGGGTGTCCGTGTGGGAGCCGTCCCTTGCGTGGCCGCCGCGGTTCCGCGTGGTGTTTGGGTCTTCGGAGCGCGGGGGCGCGTGCTCGGAGTGGGTGGCCCCCCTGCGCGCCGTGGACCTCAAGCTGGAGGCCTCTCCGGACGTGCTTTTGGGGCCGGGCTGCGTGTACCCGGCGGCGGCGGTGGCGCGCTTCGCCTCGCACTGGGGTCTCCCACTGGTGACGGCGGGGGCCGTGGCGTCGGACTTCGGGCACAAGGCGCCCTCGGCCGCGCAGCCGCAGCACTACGGCTCGCTGGTGCGGACGGGGCCCTCGGCGGCCAAGCTGGGCGGGTTCGCGGCGGCGCTCCACGCGGGGCTCAACTGGACGGCGCGCGCCGCCCTCCTCTACGCCGACGCCAAGACCGACGACCGGCCCTTCTACTTCACCATCGAGGGCGTCTACCAGGAGCTCCGCCACGCAGGGCTCGCTGTCGCCTACCACGTCTACCACGCCGGAGGGGGAGGGGAAGCCTCCGCCCCGGGAGCAGGAGCAGGAGCAGGAGCTGGAGCTGGAGGGGGGAACCTCTCCGCACAGGCCGAGCCCGAAGGAGGAGGAGGCGCCCCCGGGGGGGCAGCCGCGGGGACCGGGCCCGGCAACGCCAACGCCAACGAGGCCGGAGAGGGCGGCGCGGAGGAAGGCGCAGGGCCCGAGGCTGCTGTCCAGTTCATCAAGGACAACGGAAGAGGTGAGGAGGGGGAGGAGGAGGAGGAGACCCTTCCCCACAGGCTGGGGGGCAAGGCTGGAAGGTTGGGGGCAGCAAGGAGAACCAGCAAGACCAAGCAGACCCTTCACCATTCCTAATAGCCTACAACTTCCACCATTCCTAATAGCCTACTTCTTCCACCATTCCTAACAGCCTACAACTTCCACCATTCCTAATAGCCTACAACTTCCACCATTCCTAACAGCCTACAACTTCCACCATTCCTAACAGCCTACAACTTCCACCATTCCTAACAGCCTACAACTTCCACCATTCCTAATAGCCTACAACTTCCACCATTCCTAACAGCCTACAACTTCCACCATTCCTAACAGCCTACAACTTCCACCATTCCTAACAGCCTACAACTTCCACCATTCCTAATAGCCTACAACTTGCACCATTCCCAACAGCCTACAACTTCCACCATTCCTAACAGCCTACAACTTCCACCATTCCTAATAGCCTACAACTTCCACCATTCCTAACAGCCTACAACTTCCACCATTCCTAACAGCCTACAACTTCCACCATTCCTAACAGCCTACAACTTCCACCATTCCTAATAGCCTACAACTTCCACCATTCCTAACAGCCTACAACTTCCACCATTCCTAACAGCCTACAACTTCCACCATTCCTAACAGCCTACAACTTCCACCATTCCTAATAGCCTACAACTTCCACCATTCCTAACAGCCTACAACTTCCACCATTCCTAATAGCCTACAACTTCCACCATTCCTAACAGCCTACAACTTCCACCATTCCTAACAGCCTACAACTTCCACCATTCCTAACAGCCTACAACTTCCACCATTCCTAACAGCCTACAACTTCCACCATTCCTAACAGCCTACAACTTCCACCATTCCTAATAGCCTACAACTTCCACCATTCCTAACAGCCTACAACTTCCACCATTCCTAATAGCCTACAACTTCCACCATTCCTAACGGCCTACAACTTCCACCATTCCTAACAGCCTACAACTTCCACCATTCCTAACAGCCTACAACTTCCACCATTCCTAATAGCCTACAACTTCCACCATTCCTAACAGCCTACAACTTCCACCATTCCTAATAGCCTACAACTTCCACCATTCCTAACAGCCTACAACTTCCACCATTCCTAATAGCCTACAACTTCCACCATTCCTAACAGCCTACAACTTCCACCATTCCTAACAGCCTACAACTTCCACCATTCCTAACAGCCTACAACTTCCACCATTCCTAACATCCTACAACTTCCACCATTCCTAATAGCCTACAATTTCCACCATTCCTAATAGCCTACAACTTCCACCATTCCTAATAAATAGCCTACAACTTCCACCATTCCTAACAGCCTACAACTTCCACCATTCCTAACAGCCTACAACTTCCACCATTCCTAATAGCCTACAACTTCCACCATTCCTAACAGCCTACAACTTCCACCATTCCTAACAGCCTACAACTTCCACCATTCCTAACAGCCTACAACTTCCACCATTCCTAACAGCCTACAACTTCCACCATTCCTAATAGCCTACAACTTCCACCATTCCTAACAGCCTACAACTTCCACCATTCCTAACAGCCTACAACTTCCACCATTCCTAACAGCCTACAACTTCCACCATTCCTAACAGCCTACAACTTCCACCATTCCTAATAGCCTACAACTTGCACCATTCCCAACAGCCTACAACTTCCACCATTCCTAACAGCCTACAACTTCCACCATTCCTAATAGCCTACAACTTCCACCATTCCTAACGGCCTACAACTTCCACCATTCCTAACAGCCTACAACTTCCACCATTCCTAACATCCTACAACTTCCACCATTCCTAATAGCCTACAACTTCCACCATTCCTAACAGCCTACAACTTCCACCATTCCTAACAGCCTACAACTTCCACCATTCCTAATAGCCTACTGGACAATGGTAGAGGTGAGACCCTTGGCCTCAGAGTGGGGGACAAGGCTGGAAGGTTGGGGGAGCAAGGAGAGCGGGAAAGGCCCAGCAGACCCTTCACCAGGAATGGGACAGCTTCCACCCTCCCTCCCTCCCTCCCTCCCTCCCTCCAGGGGTTTTGGACTACAACTCTCCCACTTCGGAAATGGTGGTTGACCGTTTGGCGTCACCAAAACCACGTGGAGGGAGCGTGAGGGGAGTAAGGAGACACCCATGACAAGGTCAGCTCGGAACCTACTCACCAGTCCTGGGACAGCTGTTCAAGCCCTCCCTCTTTCTCCCACATCCACTCCCACTCCCTCCCCTTTCCTCTCCCCTCCGAGGGGTTTGCGCAACCCTTAACTCACCCACCACACAATTCCCGAACAGAGATCTAGTAGGGAGTGGGAGCACATCCGCCGCCTCGCAACCTGGATTTCTGGATTTGAACCCGCAATCTTTTGGTCAACAAGTTCAGCAGCTCAGTGGTTTCATCCACTGTGCCAGGAGTCTCCAAATAATAATAATAATAATAATAATAATAATAATAATAATAATAATAATAATAATAAGCAGCTGCAGAAGACCACCTTACTGGGATCGGCACGCATTATTCACGATACATCACACAGTCCTAGACACTTGGGAAGGGTCCGACATGTGATCCAATACAACAGCCAGCAGAGTGATCTTGCCTGCTGTGGACTCATCTTGCTGTGTTTCAAATAATAATAATAATAATAATAATAATTATTATTATTATTATTATTATTATTATTATTATTATGAAGTCCAACATATAGATCTTGTTTGCTGTGACATACTGTGGTTTTGTGTCAATAATAATAATAATAATAATAATAATAAGCCCTGTGGTCGAAGAAGAAGAAGGCAGGCATGAAGAGGAATCAGGAAGGACAGGGACGAACAAGAGACCTTTTAAATGCTTTTAACGTGAGTTGATTTGAGTCTCCTTGTAGAGAGAAAAATGCAGGGTAGAAATCATCATTGTCATCATCATCATAGGACAGGCATCAGTGGGCTCGCAGGCAAGGAGGACAGGAAGTCCCCAAGTTTCAAACTAGAGAGGTCCTGGAGGGTTGGTCTTAAGTCGGATTTGTATGTAAGTTGGGACAGGGGCATTTTTTAAAAGCCTCACTCCAGCCAAATGTACAGGGCGTCCCTAAAGTCTCCTTTTCATTTAGGCCAACTTGGGCTTGGGAATTGGGTTTTGGAAAATGTGTCTTCTTGTTGTGGAAGCAAGGATTGGGGATAAAGCTTCAGTGGAGACCCCTTCCCCCCAGGATGATACTAATAACAACAACTCTTCCAGGAGTGGGTTTCCCTCCCTTCCCTCCCTTCCGAGGGGACGATGCCTCTCACTTCCTGTGGTCTCAGCCCCCTTCTTCACTAGGAGTCAGGTGTACATTGGATGTTGGTAAACTTGGCGACGGCTTACAATAACAACAACAACAGCACTAACCCATTGGTGCTTCCAATGTGAGTCCTGTTCCAGGGTGTATTTGAACTGCTGATTCCCTTTAGGGGAGGAGGATGCTCCAAATGCAGTGCTTCCAAGATGCAAGGTTTCTTCTCCTTGCATCTCTCTGAGAGCATCCCTCAAATATCCCGGCATATTTCCAATTTCCTATTCCTGGACTGCAACTCCCAGCAATCCTCCAGGTAGAGAGATTAGATAGAGATAGGTAGGTAGGTAGGTAGATGGATGAGGAGGACTGCTGGGAGTTGCAGTCCAAGAATAGGTAGAGAAGGAAGAAAGAGGAGAAAGAGGAAGGGAAAGAAAAAATGAGGGGAAGGAAGGGAAGAGGTAGAGAAGGAAGGAAGGAGAGAAGGAAAGAAAAAAGGGAAGGAAGGAAGGAAGGAAGGAAGGAAGGAAGGAAGGAGAGAAAGAAAGAATGAGAGAAAGAGGGAGGGAAGGTTGGCCACATCAACGTGTGGCGGATACAGCTAATAATCATAATCATAATGTAATAATAATAGAGGCCAAGATGAAGTCCTTTGGCCACATCTTGAGAAGAAAGGAAAGCTTAGAGAAGACAATGATGCTGGGGAAAATGGAAGGAAAAAGGAAGAGGGGCCGACCAAGGGGAAGATGGATGGATGGGATCCTTGAAGGGACTGGACTGATCTTGAAGGAACTGGGGGTGGGGACGGCCGACAAGGAGCTCTGGCATGGGATGGTCCATGAGTCAGAAAGAACTGAACGAATGAACAACAACAATAATATAGTAATAATATAATGTAATAATAATAATAATAATCTGTCAGTTGTGACCTTCCTCTGCTTGTGGCTCAAGGCAGGGTCACAACAGTTAAAAGACAGAGGTGAAAACATGACTATTAAAAAACAGAGAGGTTCAAAATATCATCAGAATCAGACTATTATTAAACAGCGTTTATTATTATTATTATTATTATTATTAATAATAATAATATAAAGAGGCATATGTATTAAAATATAGGAACTGCAGTCATAATAATAATAATAATAATAATAATAATAATAATAATAATAATTTTCACGTGTTCCACGCTCTCCTCCTCTCGTGCGCCAAGCAGGGCACAACAGAGTTATATAATATAGAATATATATAATATATACTAGCCGTCCCCTGCCACACGTTGCTGTTGCCCAATCTGTGTATATGTCTTACATGTGTATATATGTGTGTGTATATTTGTGTATATGTGTATATATATAAGTGGTTTTGTGCATGTGTTGTAATGTGTTTTTTATATTTTTTTCTTTTCCTTTTTAAGTCTCTTCTATTGTGTTTTTCCGTGTTGTTACGAGTGATGGTCATTCGTTGGCCTAATAGGTGTATTGCGTCCAACTTTGGTGTCAATTCGTCCCGTGGTTTTTGAGTTATGTTAAGCCCACAAACGAACATTACATTTTATTTATATAGATAATATAATATAATAATATAGAATAAAATACTAAGGCTAAAAACACGGGATGAGACAACAATGGAGTGGGCTATTTGTTGGGGAGAAATGTGTGGTGGATACAGCTAGTAGTATAGTACTACTACTACTACTACTACTAATAATAATAATCTGTTAGTTGTGACCTTCCTCTGCTTGTGGCTCAAGACAGGATCACAAAAGTTAAAAGACAGAGGTGAA